TTTTTGTTTTTGCAAAACGTGCCATGTTCTTCTATTTTGGTACATTGTTGTTGGCGCTTCCGCTTGTGGCCTTTAACGCACGAAACATAGCTACATGCTTGTACTTTGGTACTCTAGCAGTTTTGCAAGAAGTTGAAGCGCTTGATTATGGCAAGGCTCAAGGTGCAGTCGATAATGTTGCGATTGTTGCTGGCGTTTATTTTTGGCTTTGTTGGTAGCAAATTACAGGTTACATTCGTTTAGGCACTCCTTTATTTGCGCTTCTTTCTTCCGTTGCTTTTGTTCGCTGGCATTTTGTTCGTCGTGCTTTAGCTGCTTGTTGTTGCTTAAGAAGCATTTGGCACTGCAGTAGGAACAAGTTTCATTTGCCGCACGCCAACAGTAGACAAGAAATTTATACAGCATGGCAAATAAAGTGGCTTGATATCGTGTGTTGACTGACTTAATTTTCCCGTGCGCTTAATTGGCCTCGGTAAGAGATTTTTAAAATCTATTGTAGAGGCGCCACGTGTAAGCGTGCATCATTTAACCCCATTTGCGCTACTGGAAATAGATTGGAAGTGATTTATTTTTGGAAAACTAATAAAGGCGCTTAGATCTCTTTTTCACGTTTTTCTTTCACTTTTAGTAAAAATGTGGTTAAGGACACACAAGGCGTTGGCATAATACTTAKTCTGTTACTAAGTTATGGCTTTTGTTATCCGACTTTCCAAAGTACAGAAACTTGCAGTATATATTTTTAATTTATGTTGATYCAGTGCTGAATTCAGARGGAGAAATGGGGGAAATTAACCCTCTCCCCAAGGGCCAAATGGCTWATTAATAATTTTACTACGCTTAAMAAGTATAAGTATAAGTAACAGAAATGTAATCCACAAATTTTTAAGTTTCTGAAAAAAATTAGTAATTGAAAAATAAGGAAACAGTGGGAAAAGCCTCTGTGTACAARTTCGAATTTATTATTGGGATTTTTCGCCTATATGACATTCTGTTTTTAACTCATTCACTCAGTGTGATTCCTCAGAAAAAATCGATCGAYCTGGYRAGGGCATCAAATATGRTARATACGCTGGTTGTAACKTTCCGAAATCRAAGACAAAAAGMTGAGTAACATTTTCGATCCATTTATTCAGRCACGAAAAAAATGGCGGCAGAACTGAAASTGCCATGGGGGCAGAAGAATACCCCTTATTTCATAGYTTTACTCGCATATTCTGCACACTTCCTGTGAACAATGTRAACTCCGAACGCTTTTTTYCGACACTTCACMGYATGAAAACGTGGCTGAGAACGAAYATGATACAAGATAGATTGATSGGCCTAGCGTTGCTGTATACGCATCATGACATTGAAGTCACTACAGAAGAAGTTCTTGCACGATTCCCAAATTTCCCCACATAGTTTTGCTATGTGAATTTTTTTTTCAATTATCAGGAGGTCGATTCAAATCTTTCCACCTTGATATTAAACTGTATAAAACTACTATTTTTAATTGAATAATGTTTATGTTTCAAGTAAATGTTTCACAGACGCGAAACGTAAATTTTTCGAAAAAATTGAGTGATTTTTGAACCAATTGTGCTTTCACTTTTCATATGCCGA